GGTTATTGACAGCCGCCAAAGTATTAGGGTGGTCCGATCCAAAACATTTCTCGTACCCACCCAATGCGCAGCGATTCATCACCTCCGATTCTTGGTACCTTCCTTGCTCCCGTAGCACCACAGCCAGGTTATTGACAGCCGTCAAAGTATCAGGGTGGTCCGATCCTAAACATTTCTCGCGCCCCTCCAATGCGCGGCGATTCATCGCCTCCGATTCTTCGTACCTCCCTTGCTCCCGCAGCACCTGAGCTAGGTTGTTGACAGCCACCAAAGTATCAGGGTGGACCGATCCAAAACATTTCTCGTACCCCTCCAATGCGCGGCGACTCATCACTTCTGATTCTTCGTACCTCCCTTGATCCTGCAGTACCGCAGCCAGGTTTCTGACAGCCATCAAAGTATTAGGGTGGTCCAACCCGGAAGTGTTCTCCATGTCCTTGAGCGCCTCAAGAAAGATCGCCTCTGCCTCCCTCGCCCTGCCTTGGTGCCAGTGCACTTCCCCTAAGAGCATGATTCGAGGTAAGCTCTCACCCCTCCATTTTCGTTCTATATCCGCTTCCCGAAGCGCAAGGCATTGCCGGACTTGAATTTCGGCATTATTATAGGAGCCCATGTCTACATAATGCACTCCCATGCGATACACAAGGTCTTCAGCCATAGCATCCGTTGAATCTTTAGTTAACATTAGCGCATGAGACATGTAAGCTGCACAAATATTCCGCCGTTTGTACTCATACACAGGCAACAGCCTTGTCATGGCCCGCAGTCCTGCAGCCTTTCCTTGGTTGCTTTGTTCTATCGATAGATATGTCTGGATAGAGAGTTGGACTAGACGGTGAAGCTCGTAAAATGTTGCGCCTTCAACTTTAGATTCCGTAACCAGGGAGAACCTCAATAGTTTCCCAATCGCCCGACAAAATCTAAGCGAATCATCCATACCCTCTAGTCCAGAATGAGTCAGTAGTTCCTTGGGTATGTTCTGACGATCGATGGACGCAAGCAGCCCCAGAAGCTTTACCATCAGGGGCATCTGTTCCGCAATTCTGTCAAAAGTGATAAAGTAGGTACCCAGGATACTTTCGGTCATGTCGGCCTCGCGTTGGATCTCGGAAAACTGCTCGGAAAGCAGCTCTTTCGCTCGTTTATCATTCTCCTGGAATATGGACCAGTAAACAGAGGGTGATGTCTCATTCTCAGCCATAAAAGCTGCTGAACCCACAACAGCCAGCGGTACATGATCCATCGAGTCTAGGATTGTTGAAACAGTCGCCTTTTCTTCACCTCCCAAGCTCTGCCAGCTATCAAGTCGCTTGGAGAACAAGTCGATAGCCTCTTTCGGCTCCATCTTCCCAACCTCGATGATCTTACAGCCCTGTCGAATCGCAACCCGCCGAGATCTAGTCGTGAATATCACAGTCCCTTCACACCCTTGTGGCACAAACTTGGAAATGGGGCTATTGTTTCCAATAAAGTCGGCTTCATTGTCGGCATTGTCAATAACTAGGACCCAATCACCGCTTTTGGGGTCCTCGAGCCATGTCTTTGTACGCCGGAGCAATTCCTCTTCGTCCTTCTCAGTCCCCACTAGAGGAATTCGAACATGCTGTGCAATAGCCTTGAACCCCTCCGTAAACTTCAATATCCCACTTCCCGGCACCCAAAAAACATGGCAACGTCCTTCACTGAAACGCCGGTAAACGTATTCTAGAGCAATCTAGGTTTTTCTAAGCGACATTAGTAAACCTCATACAAAGTACAAGGTAACACCAAATACATACCCACAGCCCCCCAACCCATGGAGAGCGACTCGGTTATGAGCCGAACCTTTGCAAATTTCTTTTATCGACTCAATGAGATTCTCACGGCCAGTAAATGCGCCATTCCTGCAATAGGGAACCATCCAGTACGGCCTCGGTGCATCTCCTGGTTCTATTAGCACGTCAGCTTCTAGAGAGATATCCGCAGAGAAACTTTAATACCTCCACCCCTTCCCCTCATTGCCTGCGCTTCACTTGTCCCTCCTGGGTTTGTCATGTCGCGGGGCATCTGCATACTAAAGATAATGTTGCCATTGCCAATGACATTGCGGTTACCCGAATTCCCACTGAAGTTCCCGTCAACAGCGGATCGCACTTGACTACTCCTACAAAGATTATTAGAAGTGCGGCGTAGAAGGATAAGGATACCCACCCATCCATCGGCTCGATAATATTCTTGGTTTGCTGGGAAGCTATATTTGAAGGTTGGATACCGTGCTAGCAAGCTGTACTCGAGTACTCGAAGCTCGCTTGATTGAAGCCAAAATGGCCGCCTCCTGGTTACTGACCGAAGTAATCGAAAACTATCCTTTCCCTAGCCAACTTGAAAGAATACCGTAGGTCGATAGGGAGGGGGTGTGCTCGACCGTAGGTCTAACCCCGGATATGGAAATGAATACGGTAGCTCCCCAGTTTGATTTTGTTGTAGGGTGGAATCCTAACAAGCGGTGCTAGAGTCTTGTACTCGAGTACGGTAGGGCTCAAACATTTGGCGCATACAGGCTTTATAAATGGAGGTGGGAACCTAGAAATAAGAAAACAGAAGCACAGGCCGGACGGGGCAGGATAGAGTGAGGAAAAATACAAGTGTAGGAGTACTGTATGTCGTGTTTCACCCAATATTTAAATTTAGACCTCATTAACCACGGACAAGCGATTGGTCCGGCTTCGGTTGGGATCTCGACTAGGGAGGGTTTAGCCGCCAGTATTCGTGTGGATGTTCACTCTTTTCCGCCAAACATGCGAAGAGCCACAACTGTAAAGCTGATTCTTACAGTACCTAAGACTGCCGGTAAAGCACGTGAGCGAGAGTCTTGGTGAAAATGGTGGATAAAGCGAAGATACCGGTAATGCAATAAGACGCCCGACGAGCGCCTGCTGAACCTGATCAAAACAGCCACTTCACTTTATCTCACCAAAGTGAACCCCTCAAAACAGGCCCCCGCACGTAGCTTACAAGCGCGATACCCCAATAAAACAATTTCCATCATTCAAATAGCGGGTGAGTACCCATTCTAAATCCGGTCCAACTTGCAGATTGAGGTCTTCTCCAGGCATCTCTGGTTTCCAACCAAAGCTTCCGCTTCCATTTCCATGCCCACTCAGGACCCGCTTACATCCGATGCGCTGCCAGGGACTTTTACTCTAAAGCCACTAGATCCCCTCAGCCTACTTCACATACCGGTATAGCAGGCACAATCTTGGCTCCCCCCAGAACAAAAACCGCCAAGTGTTCAACGCTTTGGACAACGGTACTCGGGTACCTTGCTTAGTCCGTGGATGGAATCTCGAAGGGATGGGAATTATATATAGGCCATGTGCGGATGCGGGTGGATAACAATTTTCTGGCCAGCCCGCCGAGCTCAAATATTTTGTTACCGAGCTTGCTTCCAAGCACAACTGCCGTGTCCACCGATTTTAGCCGGGCCCCAAATACGGTACACGTCTACTCGTACCACTACCCCAACACCTCCGGCACCTTGAAGAACCTGTTGGATCATGAACTACCATATCGCCTATCATACTACAATAGACAATCACCACCGTATCACGCAGATTGATACCGCCAATCTCGCTGATCTGAGCAGGGATTCTAAGTGGAAGGTAGAACTGTAGTATCAGCCTGATGTCAACCAGCCTCCCATTCCGGCGTCGCTGAGTCACCATATAGATTGGGGGCCGGCCCAGTTCCCTACGATAGCAAGTTAGATCATCGATGGAGTCCGGATGGTGATGGAAATTGGGTGGATTATTGTCATAGGAATGAGGTTGTGTCGTGGTTGGCCTAGTAGTACTGGAAGGCAGGGTCAACCACTTCCAGGGAACATATCAGATCTACCTCCGCGCACAAATACGGAGACCCCATGATAATCCATCCTGCAATTTTACCATTACATGTGCCTAACTTTCACATTGAAATTCATTGGAGATGCGACACCAATACCGACCGTTTTGATATGACCTAGACCACACAAATCGCCCCTCTGGCTTCAGAGCAACCCGGAGTATAACTCATCATTGTCTCAGCCCCTCGCACGAATGCCAGAAACTAATATAATTATATAGGCAGTTCTTCGCATCAGGCGGATACAGTGCAATACCAGCGACACGGTGGAGGCCAAGCATAGCATGTCAGAGGCAAGATCCCGGGGTAAACAAAAATAGGGATAACCAAAGAACGGACTCCAGAAAGCCGTTTCAGAGATTAAACTCAAAATAGATACTACACTTGATCTAAGCCTGTTCCATAGTCAGTATCGCTTGAATGGGACGGCGACAGAAGTCGTGAGGGACTCACCAAAAGGTAAAGAGAGCCTAGGAAAGAAGCGGAGAAGGAGGTCGAAGTGGTCGAAGTGGTCGGTTAAAATACGGTACCGTAGGTAACTGGGGTGTGCCGAGAGGTTTGAGTTTCGCCGCTTCTGGGGGTTACAGTTTGGTGGAGGGCGAAACTACTTAGTAGAAAACGTTACGATAGAAATAATGCTAACGTGATCCGTCCTAGCAGCAATTGATTCCTTTAAGTCACTTCCCCCCCAAGTTTTGGTTCCTCGAAGAATTCCCCCCACGTGACCGGGCGCCCTGCCCGAGGCAAGTATTGTCTCAATGACTTGGTACAAGTGGAAACACAACTAGCAAGAGTAGGCGTGGATGAAAATTACATACGTTGGGAATAGACACTGGTGGGACGTTGAAACCCATGGTCAAAGGTGATATACTCACTAGAGCTAAACACATCCGCCCCTCCCAAGGAAACTCTCTGTGGACTCTGCTCACCTTGCCGGGATTAGCGATCTGTGCCAGGTATCACCGGTGAAACAACCTTCCACCTACAAACAGAGTGTAACTACTAGTTCAATCTTAAGCATACCCAAAGTTCGGTTTTGGGCAGTCAAAAGGTCTGAGGAAGGCAAAGTAACTCGGTTATCATGTGCATGGGCTGCGGGGCAGAGGAATTTGACGAGTATCATAGCAGCCTATGATATAAAGTTCGCCCGTGACGTCCACTTCATAACCCTAACCCCACGGGAGAGAGCCCGACCAGTACTTTGTGGTATCATATTTCCAAAATTGTCTGCATCCAAGTACAAGCTCAAGCGGCTAGTTTTACCCTCGCGTTTGTTTTCTAACACTCTCCTTAGCACTTTGGTCGGTCAGCTATGGCCTCCCGGTTATTTCTAGGCCTGCCATGGCGACTAGCGATTGGGCAGATCAGGTGCGGTGTTTGCTCATCCTGGCTTGAGCTCCGGGGTGGCTCTCTGGAGCCTCTATTCCGACTATCCCTATGTTTCCTTACCCCAGTGGGTCTTGCCCCTTGGCTTCTAACTTAGAATGCTCTGACTGGCCCCCGCAGTGCGACAAGAGTGGCCATCTCCTGTTGATGCTATGGCTCATAGTCCGCCGCCCTGCCACTCTACCAGCGGCCAAGACCCGCAACCGGTACACCGAGGTGTCACAAAGGTCAAGCCCCACAAATACCTCTGGGCCATGATACCCATTTCGGTTTCACTTCACTCTGCCAGCCATTGTAGGATTTCCTCCTTCCAGATGTAGGGGACAAAGGGGTCCTAACACCTCAAAATATCACCGGGACGCTAGCAATCAACGGCCAGAGTGGGGGTAATCTCCGAAAGAGTTTAGGAAACTGATTTCCGAGAATTCTTCATTTTTAAGCTGTTTTCTAAGTACTTTGTCTTCTCCTTCATCCGGTTCACTAACTCTCATACTACTCTCATTACCTGTTTTTCCTAGAATCAGTACAGCTTGGAGGTCTCTCAAATACAAAAGTTAAAATAACCGACTCCCCTAAATAGAATTGGGTTAATCCCTGCTCTCGAATAGTTTAGGCTTTTTGGCCCTGGGCTTTGTTGGGGTCGGGTTGGGTTTGGGTCGGGCTAGCCATCATTTGGGCCGGGTTTGGGCCGGGTTTGGGCCGGGCTTAAGAATTCACGGCCCGGGCAGGCCCATTGCGAGGCTTGCCCTCTTTGCCATATCATCACAGGAATTCTCCATAACCCGTACGGGACGCTCGATGGAATTTATGGATGACCGCAAGAAGCCTACAAGCGATCGCTCGAGGATGCGGACCTACTAGAGAAGCGCACAGAGACCGGGCTAGCAATGCGGGAAATGACCAGGAGGATATTTCCCCAGAACCCGAGCGGGTAGAAGAACAAAGCTGGGAGGGTACCGTTGGTCCGGGGCGACGAGGCGCTTTAGCACCCTCTCTGCAGAAGCACGGTTCAAAAGTAAAAGGAAGGGCGCACCCCCGATTGTGTGTATTAATACCTGCTCTTCGGCGGACTAGCATTGCAAGAAAAGGAAAGCAACACCTCCTTTGTAATGGGCAGTGGTCCACAGAAGCTCACTCGGGACACCCTTGACCAAATGACCCAGATCGCCGCCCCACGCTCGAAATTCCCGTCCCCCAAAACATTCGGAGGAAGTGTGTCGAAATTGTTACTTCAATTTGATTGAAAGTACAGGGATGTCAGGATACCTACTATCCAATCCGGGGGACCATGAT